CATATACGTTTTTTTTTTTTTTTTTTTTTTTTAATTATACATTACAGAATATATAAAATTTATATCTATTTAAAAATTAACCTGAAAGCTTTATAAGAATTTTCAGAGAAATTACATAAGTAACAAAGTAAATATTCATTTATATATATTTATATATGTAAAAATAATTGATTAAACTATTGAAATTTATAAGTTTTATTGTACTTTAAATTAATCCATATATATATTGTTTTTAAAGAATTTACACAAATGATTAAATTTCCTAAAATGATTAAGGTATTTGAGAAGACTAAAAATTATGGTTTTGAATTTTGTGAAGTGAAAAAAAGTTCATTGTGAAAATCTATGGGATTGACTTTGAAGCTGCAGCTAGCCATACCATACCAACTATCAAAGTGTTAAAGTGAAAAAAATTTTTATTTAAACTTAAGCATAATCGTGTGAAATGAAATCGCCGCCTCTCCGTGTCGCTCCGCAAAATCACAAAAACATGAATTTGTTATTCGGGCTGGATTACGAGGTTCGCCGGGATCGTATTTCGCGTACTTTTCACGCGTACTTACTTATTATCTATCTCACTTCTCCATCCATCCATGGCCATTCGAGCTGCCGCTTTTTCCTTCATGGAATTTCAAGTAGACGACAATTTTTCAAGTTATGCAATAATTACGCCGCTCGGGGCTATTTTTCGGCTCGCTTGCCAAACAATCCGATTACAGCTTTCATTATCGCGTTATTCTTAAACTCTTGAATAAAAAATATCTTTGTAATAAGTTTAACAATTTTAAGTCTCAATGTATAAAATTAATAATTGTTTAGGACTTAATAAAGATAATAAACTGTGACATTTAAAATATATGTTAAAATTCTTCCAACTGTAAAAATTGTCTCCTAATACGAATTATAACGAAATCGTATAAATTCCGAATTAGCACGATAAATTAAAATTTGATAAAGGAAAATGAAAGCTCTTAGGAAAAGCAGCAACGGTAGAGCAAGCAGATGCTAGAGCATATAAATTTCTGTATTTTAAAATGTTAACTATTCCCAATGAGTCGAGATTGAAAAATCCAGATTTAAAAATATAAATTTCAATTGATTTTGAAAATTTATTTAGTTAGCAGCATGACAGCTCTATAATAAGAAAAGTATAAGAAAAATCTAATAAGAATAATCTAATCAAGCGAATCAGTCGTCCAGGTATCTACTAAAATTCATGAGACGGCGAGACTCGCGAATGACATCATCCCGCGTTAACAGTATGTGCTTCCGGCGGCGAGGCAATTTCTATTTCCGACGCGCTGAAGACGGAATTGAACAATTACCGCAAAACTCCAAGAGCAATAGTCTAGGATTTGTGAGTGTAAAAATCATTGGCTGTGAGTGGACCGAGGCTGGGCCGAGATCATTAGAAAACGGTCGCAAATTCAGATTGGTGAGCAGCTGCTCACTTGCTCGATTTAAAATAATAATATTCGAGGAGAGCGATTCTCAGACCAACAACTATTATTGGTTGATTCAACGGCCAACGAATTCTTGAGTTTTATTAGATTATCAATGAAAAATTAATCAATACGATTGAATTTAAGTTACTAAAATTTTCATTGCATTAACTTCTGTATACTATTTAAGTTCTTCTAAGGCAAATTATTTTATTATTTTTTGACTGATTTTTAAATACAAAATCGAATAATTCTATTGATATGTACAAAGGTATGTATATATATATATATATATATATATATATATATATTACATCAATACATTATTTTATAATATGTTAAATATGTTTTTCACATGTTAAATGATGATCGTCTCTTTATTTTAATTTTCAATATTCACTCTAAATTATTATTATATTCATATGTGAAAATAACCAATATTCAATAATTTATTGAGAAATTACAACCACACTTATATTGGCAAATATATAGAGTATCTCATGATTACATGAACAACATAATAGTTCTCCTCTTTTCTGTAATAATTGGAAAATTAACGTTTCTGTAATTATGATAAATTAATTGACAATTATGACTTACGCATGTCATGAGACCTCAAATTCTGAAACAGACAATTGAGATACAATTATATTATTGTAGTTATTTTATTCTAGTCAAAATAAACTTATAATAATTACGTATTTCATAACTAAAAACGTGTGTGTATTACATAGTTTAATCATTATTTTTTCGTTTTAATGTCGTAGACAAAAAATTTAACTGTAAAGTATTGACATTCGATATAATAACATGTAATAATAACAATAATAATAATAACAATAATAACAATAACAATAACAATAACAATAACAACAACAACAACAACAACAACAATAATAATAATAATAATAATAATAATAATAATAATAATAATAATAATAACAACAACAATAACAATAATGGATACAATAAGACAAAAAATTAATTGACTATTATTATAAACATTTTTTTAATTCATTAATAAAAATTATGGATTAAAGTATATGATTAATGTTATT